CAATTATGCAATTACAGGAGGTAATTGCGCTCCGCTGATGGTCATTAGGCTCCTCTCCAGACTATAAAAAAGACTGCTTGTGACATGTCCTTCTTGCAGAAGTCAACACATTGACTTCTGCAAGAACATGGTTTAGGACCTGGCTACCTGAGAGACCGCCTCCTGCCATTTACCTCCCAAAGACCGATTAGATCACACAGATTGGGCCTCCTCTGGGTACCATAGGCGGGTCAATGTCGGCTGGCGACCCCACGGGTGAGGGCCTTCTCTGTTGCTGCCCCGGCCCTATGGAATGATCTCCCCGTAGAGATCCGGACCCTCACTACTCTTCCGGCCTTCCGTAAAGCCGCTAAGACCTGGCTGTTCCGGCAGGCCTGGGGCTGTTGATCAGCATCCAGCCCCATTTTAAGTGTATGCATGTTGTGTATTTTTAAAATGTTTATATTTTTATTTTTAACTTTTAATTCCCTTGTTTCTCTGTAAGCCGCCCAGAGTCCCCTGGGAGTGGGCGGCATATAAATACCAATAAACTGGAAACTGGAAACTGCCATGGCTTCCTCCAAGAGCACACAGGTTAAAGTTTGCAACGTCTGATGCAAAGAAGCTACATTCTGTACAGAATGGTCCCAACAACCACACAAAACTCTTAAGCTAAAATTCCTGGGGAGTCTGACCAATAACAGGCAATATTACAAACAAGGAGTGACTACCGAACCCAAGATCTAGTCTGCCATAGAAACTTAACTGTCTAAACCTGGATTCCTGGCTTGCCTCTGCTCTCACAAACTTGCATTTGGAGCTTGGGACTTTAGTTGGCTTCCCTATCTTGGCTTGTTACTGGAGTGGTAAGCCAGGATAGAAATATATTGAAAAAAAATGCACCTTTGGGACAAAATGGGAGTTATTTCACAGCACCAACCTGCACACTTGATGATTGCTAATAGTCACACTTCTCAATGTTTTTAATCTGTTTTATGCAAATTCCTATAAAGAGGCTGAAAATCTGGGTGCATCTTATACACTGAATACAGCATTTTTGGCCTCCCGAAACCCTGCCCCCTTCATCAAAATGGCTGTGCATGGCCTTTAGGAGGCTTCCAGAGTGTTCCTGGGGGAGGACAAAAATGAGTGAAAAACTGGTGGGTTTTTTTTGCTTGTTTCTGCGCCCCCCCGCCCCCTCCATGAGCACTCTCCAAGCCTCCTAAAGGCTATGCATGCCCTTTTTTTGACAAAAAATGGGCCCCTTTCTGCAAAAAACGTGCCGTTTTTGGGAGGCCTGCACAGTGCAAAAACTTTTTTTAATTTGCCTCTTCAAAATCTTGGTGCGTCTTATACTCCAGTGCATCTTATTTTTTGAAAAATACGGTAGGTTTATTTATTTATTTATTTATTTGTTTGTTTGTTTGTCTTGTATGCCGCCCACTCCCGAAGGACTCTGGGCAGCTCACAATAGACAAGGGAAAGGGGGATAAATAGACAAAGACAACACTTTAAAAAAGAACGCAACATTCACAGTTTCCATGGGGCTGGATGTTTCACAAGCCCCCCCGGCCTGCTGGAGCAGCCAGGACTTGGTGGCTTTGCGGAAGGCCAGGCGGGTAGTAAGGGTCCGGATCTCCACAGGGAGGTCATTCTAGAGGGCTGG